AATAAAGAACAAGGTAAACTTGAAATAAGTACATAAAATATTTCCTTGATTAGTGCTAACATATAATTCATTAATGTGATTTACTAGGAGAMGGTTTATGACTATAGCCATCGGAAAATCCTCTGAAGAGCCGAAAGGTATATTTGATACAATGGATGATTGGTTAAGAAGAGACCGTTTTGTTTTTGTTGGATGGTCTGGTCTTTTATTATTTCCATGTGCCTATTTTTCATTAGGAGGATGGTTAACTGGTACTACTTTCGTGACATCATGGTATACTCACGGTTTGGCAAGCTCTTATTTGGAAGGTTGTAATTTTTTAACTGCAGCAGTTTCTACACCTGCTAATAGCATGGCTCACTCTCTTTTACTTTTGTGGGGACCAGAAGCACAAGGCGACTTCACTGCGGGTGAAAAAAGGAAAAGGAACCGAACGAACTGAGTCAACTGACGCTTCCCACAATGGAAAAGGAGCCAGACTCCTGCCTGAACCATAAGCCTCTGTTTTTTTTTTTTTTTTTTTTTGTAAAGGATAACACACAGAAATCAAGAAGAAAGAAAAGGGGAAAAAAAAAAGACAAGTTCTCGACATTGACAGCCTCTGCACAACGTAGAACATTTCTTTCTTTCGTGGATAAAAAAACTACTAATTAAAAACTTATTAAAAAGTTTAAACTTTAAAAATTAAAATATAAAAAACTTGATAAAACTCCCTTTCAGCCAATGACAGCTGGCCTTATGGCACATGTTCTTAACTTCTTAGTATTCTTAGTAATTCTTACCTGCATTTATTTCCACAACAACAGCCTCTTGTTTTCAGCCCGACCTCCGTAAAAACCACGTAACCTGCAACCGGGAAACCAAAACAAAATTTTCAGAGTCTTTTTTTTTTTTTTTTTTTTTCCCTTGCCGAAGGCCCACACTAATCTTCTTTGTACCGTTCCAATTTTAACGGATGTCCCGAAGGGCAAGTTGGCACTAACAGTGTCCTTTTTCTAATTGCAGGTAGTCAACCACCAACTCAGCATTGTAAAACAGAAAAAACACAGGGCCTTCGGCAATTGAATACCTGCAATTAGAGAACCTGAGGGTATACTCACACTAGGGTAGCAGTTGAATTTGATCGAAATCCCCGTCCAGAGAAGAAGTCCTCGTCCGTCTGTCACCAGCATAAAGATTTTTTTCTTCTTAAGCTGCCGGGTCCTTGCTGAGATGGAAGATCCATTTGTAGTCTTGCTCTGTGACTGGAGGCTTGCGTGTTTGTCTTGGAAACATCGAGCCGAGCCAACCGAATGGTTACACGCAGGGTAAAAAAAAAAAAAAAAAAAAAGACTCGTCACAAGTCGGCGAGTTGTTGGAGAAGGCTGCGGACAACTCTGGAAATCTTCTCACACCGTCGATAGCGTCCTCACAGAGTTGGCCGCAGGTCCAACAACAACTCGCCGGCTAGGACGAGGAAAACACAGTGCCCAGTCATGTGGGTAGGGCGCATGCGCAGGAATGACGGTAGCGCCCTTCGCCAACAGGCGATGTCGCATAGCAGGGCTGCGGTGCATCAGCATTAAGAACGACGTGTACGATGATGGTGTCTAGCGCAAACGAGCTGAACCACGTGAGCACGAGGGTGGTGACGGAAGCTGGCTCGCTTGGCGCAACACTGTGCTATCCATCCATAAGCATGGCACGGACCATCTTCGAGACTTCGAGTCGTATCCAGAATTCATGCGATACCCCACTGACATTAAAACTGACGAAACCTTCCTTTTTTTTTTTTTTAACTTCCTTTTTTTTTTTTTTTGAAGTTCTTCGATTTTGCCGTTGACTTTTTTGTTTTCCTGTTTTTTGCTTGATCTCTCAGTCAGTTCAAGTTCAGAAGTTCAGACCCCTGATACTACTCATGGGCACCCTTTCTTTCACACTACCTTCTTCCCCCGAATACAACAATGCACGGTCATTATAACTGTATTTAGACTGAAAGATGCCCAAGATACAGCTATAACGACCGTGCCTTGTCTTCGGGGGAAAAAGGTTGACGCACCCACCAAATGGCATGGTGATTACAGAGCAACCTTGCAAAATGTTGTAAAGTTGAACAACCAAAAGCACGGTCATTTTAACTGTATTTGGGGCATCGTTCAGTATAAATATAGCTATAATGACCGTCGAACGTCTAAGATTTGCGACTGAGATGCAACAAACAGCTTGACTGATCATTTGCAAGATACTGATCACACTTCCACAAACACACAGAAAGAGCGAGCGAGCGAGAGCGAGAGAGAGAGAGAGAGAGAGAGAGAGAGAGAGAGAGAGAGAGAGAGAGAGAGAGAGAGAGAAAGAAACCTGTTTGGGGGTCCCTGTAGCAAGTAGAACCAGATCTGCATGCAACCTGGTGCAGTTCCTCAATATCGACTGGAAATAGTGGCGTCTCCCAAGCCTCTACGCATAGGCCCTCTTTCACCCGACTCCCTTCCATCCCAGTAAATTCCACCCCACCATTTCCCCTGGGCTGGGCAGCCTTGTGGTTTTCCAGTCTGCTTCCATTTTGAACCCCCCCGTTCGGTCCCAAGCTCGTCGGTAAATGAGGACCGCCATCTGACGGACTGTTGCAATCATTGTGATCCAAGCCGCTTTCCTCCTCAGAGTCTTGTCTTGTTTGCTCTTGGCAGCTGCTGCATGTGCTCCCAACCACGGACGCCAGGACACCGGCCACGGCCCCCGTTGGACCCATTCCATCGCCATTAGGATTTGATGATCCGTCACCGTTAGGCGCCGAAGAGTTAGATCCTGCGTTGTCTGCGTTCATTGTATCGGTGCTTGCCCCATTGGTTTCCCTAGATGGAGCACTCATCCCACGAGTCTCACGAGCGTGTCCATCCTGCGCATCGTGCTCGTCCTGCTGATCATCACCCCATCTCTCCCACGGAAACGACGGCGGGATGACCTCTGGTTTGTCATTCAACAAACCCACCAACCTGAAGAGAGAATGTATCAATACTGCTGACAAATTATCACAGCAAAATAAGTTTAAAGTTTAAACTTTAAAGACCTGGTTTTTATTTTTAATTCATTTCTATTTTGGGGTAAGAAAATCGCATGAAGGTTGGTTGCGGCACAAAAGAGTTTGGAAAGGGCAACAAAATCGCGCGCTGAGTTTGAAAGGGCCACAAAATCACACGAGGACAACGAACTTGCACGCCGAGTTTGAAAAGGGCAACAAAATCACACGCAGGCAACAGCCATTTTTTACCGATATCGCCCTCTCCAAACTCCTCACCCGATTTTGATGCCCGCACATGTTCCTCATGATGGGCAATGGGCAGTCTCCATCACTGCCGATCATTCTCCATTGCAATCAGACTCGACTTATTCACACTTTTCATGCACGTGAACAGCAGCACAACAAGCTGGCGACATGTGCCCACACAGTACTCAGAGATATGGCTTCCAGGTAAGTTCGCTTCCACTGGCTATGGCGACTGAGCGCCCAACATCCACTGTTCACACACTGGATCACCCTGGATATCCCACATGCTCCACTCAGAACACTCACGTCACACACACACACTCTATGGCTATGGCAGCTAGCGCTGCCTCTACCCTATCGCTATGCTACACTTCTCTGCCCACTTCGACTTCGGGCCTACTGCAGACCTCCTCGCACAAGACTCTGAAGCAGCGCTTCCGCATGGCTTCCGCAGGAATGAATGAATGGCTGTGCGCAGCCTCTTGATTTATACTTCTGTGCCTCGTTGGTCTGCCCTGTTTCCCTGGCCCACGATGTGCACAGTCCCAGACGGTACTTGCTTGACTGGACCGGACTGGCTGGACTGGGACTGCTGACTCTGCATGGTGGACTTCCACCACTTGCCCACTGGCCTCTACCCAAACTGGGGCTGACTCCGAAAGGCCACTTCTAGAACTATCTGTTTGGCCTTTCGGTACTGTAGCAGCTACGACTCTACCCTTTCAGGTAAGTAGCAGCTACGACTTTGACCCTTCAGACAGTCTACAGCTACGACCTCTGGACTGTCTAGACTCCTACCCGACAGATCTACAGTTCGAATCCCCTGTACCATGTAACCTACGAGATCCTACCTACCACTGGCGGTCCTACAGGTCACAGGTTCAAATCTACGGGTTGACACAGGTATTGTACACAGGTAAGGTGGGGAACTAGGGATCGAGCCTTGGGATCTGCATCAGTTACTGCAAACTGGTGAATACCGTTTCACCATCCATCGCTCTGTATTGTTCTAGTTCAGCTACTCTTGATGTTGATCCTGGTGCTGGTCCACCTCCTCCTCCTCCTCCTCATCCTTTCTTCTTCTTCTTCTGCTGCTGCTGCTGCTGTTGCTTTTTTTTTTTTTTGGCTCCACCTCGGTCACAAATCTTCTTGTGATTCTTTCATGTGAATAGCCAGGGCTGACAGGTTCACAATTTCCTAATCCTCAATTGCCACATACCTATCAAGCACGAGGGTGAACTTTGCGAAAGAAATGGGGAAAAGTCCGAAAAGATTAAAAAAAGTATGATTAACTTTGAACTTTGAAGTTTGAACTTTTAAATTAACTTCAATTAAGTAATTTAAGTTCATAACTTCGTATATAACTTTTAAATTAACTTCAATTAAGTAATTTGAGTTCATAACTTCGTATATAACTTAGGAGTTCGAACTTTGCAGTTCAATTCAGAACGTCAGAGTCTTCGGGCTGGCAGCACTGTCAGTGCTCTCTCTCTCTCTCTCTCTCTCTCTCTCTCTCTCTCTCTCTCTCTCTCTCATGCGCACGGCAACGGGCAGCAGCGGCGGGCAGCAGCGGTGGGCGGCGTGTCGAAACGACCGCTTTGAAATTGTTTGGGCCTGTGTGAAACCCGCCACCCCAAAAACCTGCAGTGTCTTGTGTCCGGACCTCTAGGCTCTGTCCGGTGGGGTGAAACGACACTGAAAAAATCGCCCCATTATTTTTCAAGGGGCAGCCAGGACCCGAAAAACGTCCTGAGAAAGATTTGCAAATGGTAAAGTGGGAACCGAAGAGCAGATGCTTCGAACATAGAGAGAAAATAAGCATGGACCCTGGACAATGTGGACATGGCAAAGTTGGGGGGGGGCGGACATTGAAAGCTGAGATTAGTCATGGCTCCATGCATGTAAGGATGACGTGCGTGCGCAAATTTTGAGAAAAAAATATAAATTAACCCAAGATTCCAGACTGTGCAGGGGGGTCCTGCTAGCATGGATTAAGAGAGTATACTCGCACTAGGCCGGGTAGGCCCTCAAAATCACAAAATCACGAAATGAGCAGCCAGATCGAATCCTGCTGTTTTCCAAGGACTCGATCTGGCCGCTCATTTTGAGATTTTGCGATGTTAAGGGCCTAGTGTGAGTATGCCCTATAAGAGATGCGGGCCGGTGATCGCCGTAATAATATCTTATTAATCTGCGCAGGTGGGACCTTGTCCCAAGAGGGGGGGGGGGGGAGAAAACCAAAAAGACGTGGTCCAAAAGCAGGGGGGGGGGGGAACGAAATATACAGTCAATATACAGTCAATATACAGTCAATACATACCCCAAACGAACATGAACTCACCATTCGAGGGCATCTACAATTCGAGGCCCGGGTCGATTAAACATTTGGTTTCCATCAACCAATACAACTCGTCCTTCTTGGACAGCGCGAAGTTGCTGCCACCAGCCTTTACGGGCCACCGCACGGAGTTCCCTCTGTCATAGAAAGTTCGCAAAGTTCACAAAGTTCGGAAAGATCAGCTCAACTCACACGATGGACAGTCAAGAGGATAGACGGCCAAGATGTGTACCTGTCTGGTGGAAAAATGGCACACACATCTGACGGTTGTAGTTAAACAGATCACGAGTTCAAATCTCGTTGGACGAAGGCCAAGATTATGTGGAGCACGACCCCGGAAAATCAGTCTGTCAGTCTGTGTCATCAAGACACCACATAGCCTGCTTGAGAAATTTGAGAATAGAAAAATAAAATAGAAAAAATCTGGGAAGGGTTGGACAGAAGAAGCCCAAAGGAAACGAAGAAAACAATGGAAAAAAGGCTTTAAAACTTAAAAGTTAAAAAAGTTTTAAATTTAAAAAGCATAAAGAATTTAAAGAAATGGATTGTCAATTTTTTTCACTGCTAAGTACTCTTCACAGCTGGCTGCTGTGCACTTGTGCTCTCCATGTCCAAAACCGCTACACTGAGTACCCCCCCCCCCCCCCCACCCCCCCACCCCCCTCCCTCCCCTCAACCCCCAACCCCATTTTAACCACCACGCTTTAGAAACTTCCAAATTTGGAAATTCAACCTGCATACATATCCCACTGAATCTACTCGCAATTCTCGCGCGACAATCTTCTTCTTCTTCTTCTTCTTCTTCTTCTTCTTTTTTGTTTCTTTTTTCTTTTTTGTTTCTTTTTTCTTTTTTTAACGCCTGTGCAAGGAAAATGAACGAGAGCAGCAGACAGAAAACCAAATCGCAACACACATTGAAGACCAGATAGTCGTGTCCCAAGCAGAAAGCAGTATGCGCTGAGATACAAGCCAAATAAGAGCAACGCAATCATCATTGCAATGAACACAAATGTCAATTGGAGCCCCATTTGACCACCATCAACAATATATCGAGTGCCGCTCTTCTCTTTTGGCGTTCGGCGCACAGCCTACTACTACTCAGCAGAGTCAGCACCTATGCTACCGTACAGCTAAAGAGGCAACAAGGAAACGCTCATGCAGAAGACCAATGTACATGGCGACATCACCCCATACAGACCACACACACATCAGGGACGTGTCTCTTCCTACGCTCACTCCCCACTGACCGAACAGCACGGCAAGCATCTGTACTTTTTGCAATGTACATGCCAATGATGCCACTACATGGTCTTTTTTTTTTTTTAGTTCCAAATGAAACGGTTTTCACCTTTAGCAGTAGCAAATGCAGATCCCAGGGCTCGATCCCTAGTTCTCACCTTACCTGTGTACAGTATCTGTGTTGACCCCGAGTGTTTGAACCCGTGACCTGTGTTTTGACAGTTGTTGTTGTCTGTCATAGGTCTGTGTAGTGGTAGGGTTCGATCTGTAGGTCTGTCGAGTAGGAGTCACAGCCCTGTAGAGGTCGTAGCTGTAGGGATCCTGAAAGGTCACGGTCGTAGCTGCTACAGTACTCGAAAGGCCAAATCCACAAACTTCCGGAAGGTCCGGAAGTGGCCTTTCGAAGCTGCTCACGTTTGAGACAGAGGCAAGTGGGCAAGTGGTGGAGTCTACCCGTGCTGAGTCAGTGAGTCCCAGTCCCAGTCAGTCCTAGTCCAGTCAAGAAAGTACCGTACAGGACTGTGTGCACCAGGGGCATGGGAAAGGGCCAGACCAACGAGCTACAGAAGTATAAATTGAGAGGCAGCGACCAGCCATTCATTCATTCCTGCGTAAGCTATGCGGAAGCGCTGCCAAAAGCAACTTGTGCGAGGTGGTCTGCAGCAAGCCCGAAGACGAAGTGGGCGAGAAGGACCGTAGTCATAGCGATAGGGTAGCAGCGGCCATAGCCGCCATAGCTGATAGGAGAGGGTAGCGTGTAAGTGTGTGCGTGTGTGAACAGTGTGACGCGTGTCGGATATCCGGGGTGATCCAGGGCGTGAACAGCAGTGTTGTGTGAGTGACGAACAGAGATTTGTATAGGCGCTGAGGCGCCATAGCCATCTGAAGTGAGATCGTATCTGAGCTGTGTTCCTGATTACCATATCTCTGAGTTCTGAGTGGGCGCTTGTCGCCAGTTTGCTGCGCAATCTGTTTGCATGCATATGAAGTCTGAATGAAAGCGAGTCTGATTGCACAAATTTCCAATTCTCAATTTAATAACTTATGCATTATGCATTTCATCCTTGCAAGACGGCTTTTATCCGCTAGTCTTCATTCTCCGTATCTTTCCAATTTTAACGGCTGCATGCAATGCATGGTCATTATGGCTGCGAGCACGCCGTATATTTCCAGCAAAATTGTCAGGCTCGATGCCACCCACTATAATGGCCATGCCTTCCTATGGTTAGGGGGAAGACGACAGCGCCTATGATGTAGACACCGTATGGAAATATAGCGCTGTTCCAGATGGCAGGCATTATTCCCCACTATAATGCCTGCCATCTGGAACAGCGCCTATGATGTAGACACCGTATAGATTTTTTGGAGTAGCAGTACCCGCAGTTCACAAAAGCGGTTCCCGACGAATCTGGCCTTTGTTGTCGAAATAATGCTCGGGTTGATTTTCCTCAAAAAAAAAAGAAAAGAAAAAAGAGCAGTTCGAAAAAGCGGTTCGCAAATCTGACCTTTGTCCTAGGAATAATGCTTGCTTGGTTTTATTTTCCCAAAAAAAAACAAAAAAAACAAACAAAAGAGTAGTTCAAAAAAGCGGTTCGTGAATCTGACCTTTGTCGTAGGAATAATGAATGCTAGGGTTGATTTTCCAAAAAAAAAAGAGCAATTCATAAAAAACTTAAAAAAAGCGGTTCACGAATCTGCTCTTTGGTTAAGAGACACGGCTCTTGAGGCTGACGGCGCCGGTTCGAATCCGTGCTTGCACGGAGGAGGTCCTGTGGCTGATAAAGTACAGACTGTACTTCAAGCAGGTAACCAGCCCGGAAATTATACCTGGATGTGGTGGCCCGTAGATAAAACCGTTGGATAAGCAGTTGTGCTGGATGAGAGCGGAGTGTGCGACTACTGCCTGCGTGGCGGATGCCTTCTGTGGTGTTGTGTGTGTGTGTGTGTGTGTGTGTGTGTGAGTTGAAGGACACTACAGCCATGCAGGGGTGGGTTGGATATCACGACCGGCATGGATCCACTTTTGTACACCGTGCCATGGCTGTAGTGGTTAAGAGACTCGGCTCTTGAGGCTGAGGGCACCAGTTCGAATCCGTGCTTGCACGGAGGAGGTCCTGTGGCTGATAAAGTACAGACTGACCTTTGCCGTAGGAATATTGAATGCTCGGTTTGATTTTCCCAAAAAAAAAAAAAAAAAAAGAGCAGTTCGAGAAAGCGGTTTGCAAAGCTGACCTTTGTCGTAGGAATGTTGAGTCCGCAAGGACCTACTATCACCCAATCAGGGTCCATATCAAGCACGTTCTGCGGTGGCACACGAAAGGAGTCACCGGCACCTGAAAGTCCACTACACCAAAGAGATCACAGAACCACAGACGACCGATGCAATCCCCCCAGACGCATCCAGTCCCCGATCGCATTGTTAGTGCGGATTTCCATGTTTATTCAACTTTATAATCTTTATTATCATCGTTTTTCTTTTTAAATAGCACACGATGATGGACCACATATCAGATATTAAATAATTAAAGTTAATAATTAAACTGACCAGAACACAATCAATAGAATCAAATTCAATCAATAGATAATACACTATCTATGTTTAGCCAAAAGGTCGAGAAAGGTATTGTGCGCATTTCCATCTGTCATGGCAGTTCTTCCTACGCTCTCACTCGTGCCCCTCGCACACGAAAGGATTCTCACTCATGCCCCTCACACACGAAAGGAGTCATCAACAGCTCAAAAGTCGACGACATTACCAACGGACCTAGCTCGGTCGGTACACCCATGAACTGTTGAAATATGAATAAGACCCAAGTTCGAATCCAGATGCATGCAGATGACAGAAGATAAGATAAGTGATCATAATTCTGAATTACCTGGGGCTGGTTAGTTCAATGATGATATCTCAAGGCCGTCACCATCGATGAGGGAAAATAGATGTTTTTTTTTTTTTTTTGGGGGGGGGGGGGGAAGAGGGGGGGACAACATGGGAATATAATGTAATGCATGCCTTGAATCGTTGGCTGGATTGATAGGATGGACGCCTCCAGCCATCTCGATCAAACTGGGCGTCCAGTGGCCACCGCAAAAAATCGGGTCAACCCACTCCATGAACATGACACGTGGCTTCCTCCCAAGAGGCCAATTGTCATGCCGTACGTGAGCTTTTGCTGCCTCCACACGCCGTTCCAGGGAGACTGCCGCCCTCTCGCCTTCCTCCGCCAGACCTAATCCCAGTCGTTCCGTACCAGACAGGCAAACACAATGGCACAAAACGTCGGCACCAAGTGATAATCTACAGGGGGGGCAAAAAAAAAAAAGAAGGAGAAGAAAAAAAAAAAAACAAGAGAATCTAAAAAGAGAAAAAAAAAAAAAAAAAAAAAAAAAATGCCACTCACCACCCAAATGCACCAAGCAAAGCAGGGGCACAAAAATTATGCAATTAAACCCCACACTAGAGACAGCAAATACACAAAGAACTTGAAAGAAGTTGAAAGAACACAAAGAGATTTAAAAAAGAAAAAAGAAAAAAAAAAAGAGGTCAGCACAGGGTCATAAGTTCTTAACCCACACAAAAGATTTTCAAGTTGACACTTGAAAGCTCAAACACAGAGCAGGCTGTGAATTTCAACAACAACAAAAAAAAAGGGTCAGCAGCAAAGGGTCATGAGACTCATGAGTCATAAGACTCGTAACCATGGCAAACGGCCGGACGTCTGGACCGGAATCCAGGCGGTCCGGTTGTCTGGGTATGGGTCCGGTAGGTCTGGMTTGGGCCCAATTTTGAAAATTTTGAAAATATTTTGGGGGGCCCCTAGGACGTTTTTTGGGTCCTAGGCCACCCCCCAAAAACGCCCCCGGTATTTTTTGGCTGTTTCAGGGCCTGCCCGACGCCGCCAGACGCTTCCAACAGCTCCCTCTGCTGTTGTTCTACGCTGGTAGTTCATCGGATGAGAATGAGTCTGATTCCAAAAATGAAGCGTTAGCTGCAAAGCGCCACAGAACATCAAGCTAGCTCGAGAGAGAGAGAGAGAGAGAGAGAGAGAGATGATTTTGGTCAGATCTGAGCTCCCATCTTAGATCTGGTCCTGACCAGATCTCAGATCTGTTCTTAGTACTTCTTACGTAGATCTGAATAACTTGACAGTTTAAATTTTGACTTTTCAAGTTTTCATATGAATATGAATTAGAAAGTCTAACTTCAAAGTTCCAAGTTCTGTTTTTCTCTGATTTTCGTACTATTTTCTGAAGTGACTTGGGATTGGTCTGTTGAGAACTGCTTTCAACTGTCTAGTGTTGTGTGAGCCTTGTGAATCTCTCTGACTCTGTGACAGTATGAAGCTGTCAAGTTGTGAATAGTGAAAGACAGTAAGCTGTGTTTAGTACTGTTTACTACTAAATTACTAATTATTATTATTATTATTATCTTTTTCGGTCCGGACATTTTTGCGTCTGGTGTACCGGTCCGGACGGTCCGGGTCCGGTCCTGTCCAGTTGTCCGGTGCCTGTCCGGACTACCGGAAGTCTGGACCAGTCCAGACAAATGTCTGGGCCTCGGCCCAGACATGTCCGGGTCTTGGCCCAGACATGTCCGGGTTCGGGCCCGCAGTAGCCATGCTCATAACACGGAGTAGACATTGCAGAGAAGCAGCAAAGGTACAGTAAGGACAAAAAGAAAAGAAGCTATGGACTCTGGAGGGACTACTGAACACGATAAAACTATCGTAATAGAGTCAAAATAGACAATATTGAATATTGAATATTAGACATCATATGATCATATCATCATAGTAATATACTAATAATATCATGTAGTGAGGCTGGTTGGGTGATGCTGAGGAGGAGGAGGAGGAACTAGAGATCTCCCGACCAGCCTCACTTCAGCAGATCGACATCACCTCCGCCATCTAGGACCATCTACGGAGATAGCGAATGTACAGCAAAGGCATTGATTGCAGAAAAGCACAGTACCTGCCTTGTGGGTTTAGGTTTCCAACTTTCCAAACATGCAACTGTCAACAAACGGATAAAAATTTTAAAAATGAGTTGCAGTTTGAAAATTTCACATTCTGAAGAAAAGACAATAATAACATGCCCAAATGAAAATGCAATAACATGTCCAAATGTCCACAAACACGGACACGGTATTGTATTTTCTTCAGGAATCAGAATGTGAAACTTTTCAAATTCCAACTTCCAACTTCCAACTGATTTTTTTATCCGTTTATCGACAGTTGCATGTGTGGGAAACCCTAAAGGGCCTAAAGGGCCCTAAACCCACAAGGCAGGTGCTGCTTTTTTGCAATCAGTGCGTTTGCTGTACATGCATCCCCTCTGGACACCCAGAGCTCATTGGAAAAGTACTACCGACGACAACAGATAAAAAGAGACGGAGAGTGAGAAAGGGGAGGAGGGGGAGAGACCCGAGACGAAAAACACAAACTCTAGCGCAAAACATAACTAGTCAAGTATGAGATCGAATGCCTGAGATCGAATGCCTCGGCTTTCGTGGCTCTACTCACTAAACTCAGGCCTTCGGCTTCACCCACCTCATGTCCTGAGGTTGCATGGAAGTCTAGAAGGGAAACTGGTCGCCTGATCCAGTGAAGCCCCACGATGAGAGAAGTTAAAGCAGGCAGAGTTAATGAGCCGTGAGAAACGAGAGAGAGAGAGAGAGAGAGAGAGAGAGAGAGAGAGAGAGAG